TGTTATTGGAAGGATATGTAAGCACATTTACATTGAAGAAGGTTACAATAATGGTTTAATCAGAGTTGGACAGTCTTGTTTTAAATTACAGTTTTATGTAAATATTCAAGAATATTTAATCTGCTGATGCTTCAATTAATATAATTTTATTGGTATGTTTTACCAGTAGCTGCTGCATTTCCCACCCTCGGCTTCTACTCGAGTCAATATGTTTTCCCAGGTTTTTTGTGGTAAAATTAGGTGCCTTGGCTTATATTCGGGTTGGCTTATACTCGAGAATATACGGTACGTACCAGTACTTGAATTTTTTTTTGATAATTAGAAATGAATGAAAACAACACTCTTTCCAAATACGCAAGGTTTTCTATTACCACATGTACTTGAGTATAAGCCAACCCGAATATAAGCCGAAGCACCTAATTTTACCCCCAAAACTGGAGAAAGATATTGACTTGACTATAAGCCGAGGGTGAGAAATGCAGCAGCTACTGGTAAATTTAAAAATAAAAATAGATACTAATAAAATTCCATTAATTGAGGCATCAGCAGGTTAAATGTTTTTGAATGTTTACATAAAACTGTCCCAACTCCAATTAAACCATTATTCTAACCTCCTTCCATGTAAGTGTGCTTATGTATCCTTCCAATAACAAGAGTAAAATAATACATGTAATAAAAATAGACATGATAGAATAAAATAATGGAAATGTCACCTCTGGCTGAGAAAGGCGGTATAGAAACGTGGTAAATAAATAAATGTAATAATAATAGTAATAATAGAGTAAAATAATAAATGTAGTAATTAAAATAGAGTACATTAATAAATATAATAATAATAAATTGTAAGATAATAAGTGCCATAAAAATAATGACAGAGTAACATCATGTAAATGTAATAATAATAATAATAATAATAATAATAATAATAATAATAAACAGAGTAAAATAATAAATGCAATAATATTAGTAATAATAATATAATAAATCAGGGAAAATAATAAATGTAATAATAACAACAATAAAGAGAAAATAATAAATGTAATAGTAAAAATAGAGTAAAATAATAAATGTAATAATAAAAATAAACAGAATAAAATAAAAAATGTAATAAGAATAATAATAATAGAGTAAAATAATAAATGTAATAACAATAATAAAGAGTGAAAAATAATAAATGTAATAATAATAAATGGAGTAAAATAATAAATGTATTAAAAATAGAGTAAAAATGTAAAGGTCATAATAATAATAATAATAATAATAAATGGAGTGAGATAATAAATGTAATAATAATAATAATAACAACAACAACAGTAAAATAATAGATAACTTTGACTCATGTATAAGCTGAGAGGGACTTTTTCAGCCAAAAAAGGGGGCTGAAAAACTCGACTTATGTTGTTGTTGTTCATTCGTTCAGTCGTCTCCGACTCTTCGTGACCTCATGGACCAGCGCACGGAGCTCCCTGTCGGCCGTCACCACCCCTAGCTCCTTCAAGGTCAGTCCAGTCACTTCAAGGATGCCATCCATCCATCTTGCCCTTGCTCGGCCCCTCTTCCTTTTGCCTTCCACTTTCCCCAGCATCATTGTCTTCTTTGGGCTTTGCTGTCTCCTCAAGAGGTGGCCAAAGGACTTCAAATTTGTCTCTAGTATCCTTCCCTCCAATGAGCAGTCGGGCTTTATTTCCTGGAGGATGGACTGGTTGGATCTTCTCGCAGTCCAAGGCACTCTCACAACTTTCCTCAGCACCACAGCTCAAAAGCATCGATCTTCCTTCGCTCAGCCTTCCCTAAGGTCCAGCTCTCACATCCGTAGGTGACTACAGGGAAGACCATGACTTTGACTAGGCAATGGATCTTTGTTGCCAGTCTGATGTCTCTACTCTTTACTATTTTATCGAGACTGGACATTGCTCTCCTCCCAAGAAGGAAGCGTCTTCTGATTTCCTGGCCACCGTCTGCATCTGCTTATACTTGAGTATATATGGCTTATACTTGAGTATATATGGTACATTCTATCTAGAAGGATTCTGGTTCTGCCAAGTACAACATTAATCAAATTGTTGTGAAAGTAAAGTGTTTTAATAGTAGTAGCAGCATGATTAATTGATAGAACCACAATCCATCCCTGATAGACTGAGCTGAAGCTAAGAAACTATTTGATTTTTCAGACTGTTGGCAGTTTTAGGTTGCAGGAGTGGATAACCTGGCTCTGTTTCTTTTCCAGACAGTCACGGCCCTTACCTCAATGTGCAGCAGCCAATTTGGCTATGCCCTTTCTAATGGAACTGTTGGCATTTACAACCGGACGTCCCGCTATTGGAGAATTAAAGTGAGTATGAACCTAAAAATCCAAGAAGGGAGATGGTTAAAACCATGGGAGGGGGGATTGGGTCCTCCTGCTCTTACAGCTTATTTGCTGAATTAATACATCTTTGGCATCTAGATGTGTTCCTGGATTCCAAAAACTATCCTGTGGACACATATGGCTTATTCATCTTTGCTCTAATCTTGCAGTCCAGATAGTTAGGTGTATGTAGCTGATGTTTTTTGGTGGAAATTGAAGCATTGTTTTGAATGCACCATTTTATTATTAACTAGCCGTCCCCTGCCACGCGTTGCTGTGGTCCAGTCTGGTGATCTGGAAAATAAAGTAATGAGAAAGTGTTGGTTTCTAATATATGTATATATGTAATATATGTAATTTCTTTCTGCTTTTGGGTAAACAGTATTTCTTGCTGTTTCTTTGTCAGTGTTGATGTGGAGTGTCTAGTTTGCCCATCCTGGAACATGCAACATATCGTTGTCCTTCTTCAGGGGTCCCTTTCAAATCTATGATGCTATCTCTCTGTGTGTGAATCATATCTATCTATCTATATCTATGGCTGGATGGCTCTTTGTCAGGAGGGCTTTGATTATGTTCTCTTGCCCTGATGAAGGGAGTTGGATTGGACGGCCTTAAGTATTTTCTGTTGGTCGTGGGGGTTCTGTGTGGGAAGTTTGCCCCGATTCTGTAGTTCATAGGGTTCAGAATGCTCTTTGATTGTATGTGAACTGTGAATCCCAGTGACTACAACTCCCAAATGTCAAGGTCTATTTCCCCCAAACTCCCATCTGTGTTCATATTTGGGCGTATTGAGTGCTTGTGCCAAGTTTGGTCCAGATCCATCATTGTTTGAGTCCACAGTGCTCTCTGGATGTAGGCGAACTACAACTTTCAAACTCAAGATCAATGCCCACCAAACCCTTCTAGTATTTTCTGTTGGTCATGGGAGTCCTGTGTGCCGAGATTGGTTCAATTCCATCATTGGTGGAGTTCAGAATGCTCTTTGATTGTAGGTGAACTATAAATCCCAGCAACTACAACTCCCAAATGACAAAATCATAGTGTTTTGAGTGATGGTCACTCCTTGTGTCGTGAGACGTTTTGTTGCCGAATTTGGTGTGATTTCGTTCATTGGTTCTTTTGTTTTTAAGGTACTCATTACGCACAGAGCATTTATATATAGTAGAGAAATGCATTTTGGGAATTTAGAAGTTTTTACATGCTTCTTGTAATCTTGAGCACCCAAGAGATGAAATAACATGTGTTTTACTGTCAAAGAAACTCATTTTATTTTTCTGGGTTCTAGTACCTTGCTAGTAGCTTTCTGTAATCTTGAAGCATCAGCCCAAACTTTGGAGGCCCAAAGTTTGCCCATGGCTGCTTTAGGGTAAGCTAGAGTGGTTAGATCAATGTTTTTCATTAGGCTTATGTATAGCAGTTGCACTTCCAGCTTTGCATTTTATTTTGCTGCCGTGGCCACTAGGAGATTTGAGGAGTTAGAGTCCAACACGGTCACTTTTCCAAGCTCTGTAATAGCACAGGTTTGAGACAGAGATTTTTGGATCACAGTCTAGTCTCTTGGTTTCCTTCCTACACTGTGTCTTCCATCCCAACTAAGTTAGTACAGTGAAACCTCCATTTAAGAGCACCACAACTTAAGAGTGTTACGAGCCATTGCTTTGACATACGAGCAGTGTTTTGTGTTAAGACCTAGTGTTGCAACCCAGAGCAGGAAATTGGACCCTAAGACAACAATCCACCACACTTGACTTCAGGAAAAACAATCCTTTTTTATTGGTGAAAGATGAGTACAAAAATAGAGGAAATATGCAAGGTAAAAAGCCACAGTAAAAATCAGCAACAAGAAATGTCCATGAACAAGATCAAAAAACCCACAGTAACACTGCTAAATCCTGGAACCTGTTATCGATCCATTAACCGTACTTGAAGCAACTAGAAAGCCTCTTAGGAATAAGGCCACTGGAATCAGGAGAGCTGCCAAAGGTGATGCATGAATCTGAAACGATGCCTGGTCTGAAGTTGCATCCAGGCGAGAGGTACTTAAGGCCAAGAAATCTATTACGTGACACTCCTGAAGGCTTTGTTTGCATTTCTCTCAATCTAGCTGACCTTCGTAAACTTTGAGATTCTCCCCTGCTCTGCCAAATCTGCCCTCTCCTATCCTCATTAGAGAGACCAGGTGTCAGATTCTCTGGAGAGCTAAGACTGGGAGGAAAAGGGAGTGACAGTTCACCGCTTGGCTCTGAAATATTCTCATGGGAATTTGGACTTTCACTTTCCAAGGCTGCAGGAGTTTCATTACACAATACGTCATCTTCTACCTTGACCTCAGAATCAACATCTTCACTAGCATCAGGAAATACAATCAGAGAATCAGGTTCAGGTTCACACACAGGCTGAACCCCAACACCTAGTGCCATAGGAGTGCTAGCGCAAGAGTACAGGATTTTAGGACTTTAAGGGAGCAGCCTCCGGGCCTCATGCTCTTGTCCGCTTTGGGAGATTGCTGTCTGCTGTTCTCTTGTCCACTTTGAGGAGCTTTAGGTTAGCTGATTTTGTGTGGTTTTTATTCCTGGTATGTTTGGCTTCATGGAGAGAGAGAGGGGGAGAGAGCAAGAGAGGGAGGCTGGCATGAGTACAGTAGGAAGAAGAAAATGATGCTTCTGCCTCTTCACTTTGTGCTTCCTTGCCACAACTTTGTGCTTCCACCATTGTGCCACACATTTGTGCTTCTACTATTTCAAAGTTGATCTGTCTTTTTTATTGTTCCATGTGAATGTGCAGGTTTTGCCTTGCTGTTACACTGGCTCACACAAATTTTGTTGCCTCAAATGTCCTTCCTTGCCCCAACTTTGTGTTTCAACCATTTTAAAGTTGATCTTTCTTTTTTATTGTTCCATGTGAATGAGCATTTATGCATTATTGGTTATTTATAAAGCACCGGGACTGTGGCGCAGCTGGCTGGAGTCAGCTGCATTAAGATCACTACTGACCAAAAGGTCATGAGTTTGAAGCCAGTGCGTGTCGGAGTGAGCTTCCAACCAAATTTGTGTAGCTTGCTGTTGACCTTTGCAGTCTGAAAGACAGTTGCATCTGTCAAGTAGGAAATTTAGGTATTGCTTATGCGGGGAGGCTAATTTAACTAATTTACGACACCATAAAATCTCCAGCAAGCACGCAAAGAATGAGGAAGTACTCCATCAGTGTCACAAATGGACGATGAAGCGACAGCTCCCCTGGTGGCCAGAATATTATCTATGAATTTGGCCCTGCCCAGGGTAATCTTTTGTGTTTAAATGTTTGATTTTAGATTGTTGTGTCATTATTATATTGGTTTGGCATTTTATGTATTTTATTTTTCTGGTTTTGTTATGCTTTTGTGTTATATTATGTGTACTGTACCGATGGGTGTGGCCTCATGTAAGCCGCACCGAGTCCCCCGGGGGAGATGGAGCGGGGTATAAATACATTATTATTATTATTATTATTATTATTATTATTATTATTATTATTATTATTATTATTAATACCGTCATGAAAGCTGGAATGTTAAATAGCCTCTGTGTGTCTGTCTATATATGTTGTGTGTCTATGATATTGAATGTTTGCCATGTATATGTACATTGTAATCTGCCCTGAGTCCCTTCAGGGTGAGAAGGGCGGAATATAAATACTGTAAATAAATAAATACATACATACATTTTCTTATTTAAAGACACGTAACAAAAAATGCAGGTGGTGGTGGGGGGTTCAGAGGCCTAGAATGGATTAATAGCATTTCAATGGGAAAATTTGTTTTGAGATAAGAACAGTTTGAGTTTAGAGCTCGGTCAAGGAACGAATCAAACTCTTAACTCAAGGTATCACTGTATTAGGAAACAACCCACTTCTGTATTTTGTTTTGCAGTCTAAAAACCAGGCCATGAGCATCCATGCGTTTGATATCAACTCTGATGGAGTGTGCGAACTTATCACTGGCTGGTCCAGTGGGAAGGTAAGTTAAAAGGAGAGCTGGCATTTAAGTAACTTCCCTTCTCTTTGTGATATTCATTACCATCTTCTCCACACAGATAGGTACCTACCGGCTATTCCAAATTAGTCTAACACTGCTACTGCATAAACTGGTGACTGTCCTCAAGAAGAATAAATAATATGTTCCAAACAGATATTTTGTTTTATATTCTTTGTTTTAGCGATCAGAACATTTTGTTACAGAACATAATGGTTGAACTACAAAGAAGGAACATGTGGGAGGTTTAACTACATAAACCAGATGAAGTTCCAGATGACACAACTTGCAGTTATGAGCAGAAACTTCTCTATTTTAAAAGGTTTTTCTGTGCAGAATTCAGACTTTTTCAAAAGCAAACAAATACAGAGACCTTCTTTAGATGAATTTTTCTGTTGATATCGTTTGTCACCTTGGGAATTGCACATTGAAGGCTTTCACCTCAGTTCTTTTTTAAAAAGATTTTTATTGCAAATTAAAGCTTGTGCGCCAGCTGCACCCGTTCCTTGGGAAGTCTGACTTGGCCACGGTGGTCCGCGCTCTGGTTACATCCCAAATAGACTACTGCAACGCTCTCTATGTGGTGCTGCCTTTGAAAACTTCTCGGAAGCTCCAATTAGTCCAGCGGTCGGTGGCCAGGTTGTTAACTGGAGCTGCGTACAGGAAGCGTACCACTCCTCTGTTGCGCCAGCTCCACTGGCTACCGATTCGCTTCCGGGCACAATTCAAAGTGCTGGTTTTAATCTTTCAAGTCCTGAACAGTTCTGGCCCAGATTACCTGTCTGAACGTATCTCCTGCTATGAACCATCACAAAGCTTAAGACAGTGGTTCTCAACCTTCCAAATGCTGCGACCCCTTAATACGGTCCCTCATGTTGTGGTGACCCGCAACCATAACCCTAACATTATGAATTGCCATGTAAATAATGATTTGCAGGATGTATTTTCATTCACTGGGCATACTGGAACAAATACCCAGTATGCCCAAATTTGAATACTGGTGGGGTTGTCGGGGGGATTGATTTGGTCATTTGGGAGTTGTAGTTGCTGGGATTTATAGTTAATATGTAAACAAAGAGCATTCTGAACCCCACCAACAATGGAAATGAACCAAAGTTGGCACAGAGGACTCCCATGATCAACAGAAAATACTGGAAGGGTTTGGTGGGCGTTGACCTTGAGTTTTGGAGTTGTAGTTCGCCTACATCCAGAGAGCACTGTGGGCTCAAACAATGATGGATCTGGACCAAACTTGGTACGTACATTCAGTATGCCCAAATGTGAACACTGATGGGATTTGGGGAACATAGACTTTGACATTTGGGAGTTGTAGATAATGGGATTTATAGTTCACCTACAATCAAGGAGCGTTCTGAACCCCACCAATGATAGAATTGGGCCAAACTTCCCACACAGAACCCCCATGACCAACAGAAAATACTGTGTTTTCTGATGGTCTTTGGCGACCCCTCTGACACCCCTTCGCGATCCCCTCAGGGGTCCCGACCCCCAGGTTGAGAAACACTGGCTTAAGATCATCAGGAGAGGCCCTGATCTCGATCCCACCACTCTCACAAATGCGGTTGGTGGGGACGAGAGACAGGGCCTTCTCGGCAGTGGCCCCCCATCTGTGGAACTCTCTCCCTAAGGACAATAAGTTGGCCACCTCCCTCCTGTCCTTTAGAAGACAACTGAAGACCTGGCTCTGGAGCCAGGTGTTCGATTAGAGGTCAGCGGCAATAGGAAAAGGAAATTTGGATTTTGTGACATGGATTCGCCCGGTTCGGCTTGGTTTTTACTGGCACATTAATTTATTGATTTATTGCTAAATTTTACTGATGATGTACAATGTTTTAAAATGATTTTATTGTGAATTTTAATTTTTATGGTATTTATGCTGTTAGCATCCTCTGATGCTCATGTGAGGCCGTGCTGAGTCCCGCTTGTAGGGAGAAGGGCGGGATATAAATACTTAAATAAATAAATAAAATTAGGTAAAAAATAAAAAGTAAATTGAAGAAATTTACATAGAAAGTGGGAGAACATTATAATCAGAGAAAAGTAGGAAAATTGGGGAGTATGGAAAAGGAAGGGAAGAGAGAAAGGAGAAAAAAAGAAGAGTATATTTAGATTTCAGAGGGAATTTGCTTCCAGGTTCAACCTTGCTGGAAAACCATTTCTGTTTTAAGATCCTTTAGCCCTTTTAGTGTCGGTTTCTTATTTTTCTCGGTCCTTTGAGTTTCTTTTAATTCCTTTTTATATAAATATATAGTTATATAAATTTATATTCCTTTTTTAAGAAGTCCATACATTTTCCTCAGTCTGTTCCCTGGTTTTGTAAATTGTTCTGTGCAAGTTTTTGGGTGAGGAGGTCCATATTCATAATATCCATCACTTTCAAAATCCATTTTCCCATTTTTCAATTTTTGTGTTTTCCATAATTGCGCCAGAGTTATTCTCGCTGCAATTATCAGATAGAAAAAAAAATGTTGGAATTTTTTTCCCATTTCAAAATCTGTAATCCCGAGTAAGAAGAATTTGAGCTTAACTCCAAATCTCGGGTGGAGGATTGTTTCCATTTTCTTGTAAATCTGATGCCAGTATCTTTTAACTTTCTTGCATTTCCACCACATGTGGATAAAATTGCCCTTATGCTTCTCACATTTCAAGCATTTCTCCTCACTTTTTCCTCTATTATATTTTGCCAGTTTTTCCGGGGTCAGGTACCATCTGTAAAACATCTTGTACCAGTTTTCTTTAAGTTCTGTGGAGTATGTGTATTTCAATTTCTTCCTCCATATTTCCACCTCAGTTCTGTGTGTGTTTTGTAAGCATCCTTTAACTTTCCTAGACTTCCTTCTTTATAGACATGAGTAGGAAACACAGTAACATTCTTGCTCCCATTTTGATGCCGCTATCTTGGAAAATGCTCTGTTTCACAGATTGATGCACGCAGCGACCGTACTGGAGAGGTCATCTTCAAGGATAATTTTTCTTCCTCGGTTGCGGGAATAGTAGAAGGGGATTATCGCATGGATGGCAACACCCAGTTAATCTGCTGCTCGGTTGATGGCGAAGGTAAGAGTATCCAGAACCCTTTGTAGATTCAATGTGTTTGTTGTTTGGGCTGCTCTGAGTCCCCATCGGGGAAATGGTGGCGGGGTACAAATAAAGATTATTATTATTATTATTATTATTATTATTATTATTATTATTACTAGCTGTCCCCTGCCACGCGTTGCTGTGGCCCAGTCTGTTGATCTGGAAAATAAAGTAATGAGAAAGTATTGGTTTCTAATATATGTAATTTCTTTATGCTTGTGGGTAAACAATATTTCTTGCTGTTTCTTTGTCAGTGTTGATGTGGAGAGTGTCTGGTTTGCCCACCCTGGAACATGCAAGATATCATTGTCCTTCTTTAAGGGTCCCTTTCAAATCTATGATACTATATCTCTGTGTGTGAATCATATCTATCTATCTATCTATCTATCTATCTATCTATCTATCTATCTATATCTATGGCTGGATGGCTGTCAGGAGGACTTTGATTGCGTTTTCTTGCCCTGGTGAAGGGAGTTGGATTGGATGGCCTTAAGTATTTTCTGTTGGTCATGAGGGTTCTGTGTGGGAAGTTTGCCCCGATTCTGTCATTTGTGGGGTTCAGAACGCTCTTTGATTGTAGGTGAACTGTGAATCCCAGTGACTACAACTCCCAAATGTCAAGGTCTATTTCCCCCAAACTCCATCTGTGTTCATATTTGGCCATATTGAGATCCATCATTGTTTGAGTCCACAGTGCTCTCTGGATGTAGGTGAACTACACCTCCCAAACTCAAGGTCAATGCCCACCAAAACCCTTCCAGTATTTTCTGTTGGTCATGGGAATTCTGTGTGCCAAGTTTTGTTCAATTCCATCATTGATGGAGTTCAGAATGCTCTGTGATTGTAGGTGAACTATAAATCCCAGCAACTACAACTCCCAAATGACAAAAGCATAATTTTTGAGTGATGGTCACTCCTTGTGTTGGGAGACGTTTTGTTGCCAAATTTGGTGTGATTTTGTTCATTGGTTCTTTTGTTCTTAAGGTACTCATTATGCACAGAGCATTTATATATATATATAGATTTTTTTTCAAATTTTCTTACATAGTGTTATTTATTATCCGTAAGCCCCTGTATTCATCACAAATGAATGGTTTGTGTTGGTTTGATGTTCCTTGAGTACATTAAATTCTGCAAATCTTTCCTAGTGGGCCCTGTAGCTCAGTGTTCTTCCACTTTGGACAGAAATAGCCTTTTCCCAGCAAGCTTTTTTTTGACTTCCCTGTTGTGCAGTGCGAGGATACCTTCCAGGAAGCCAGGAGACGAAGGGGAAACTGTTGGACACAAGTGTGGACCAGGACCTGATTCGGGAGCTGAGCCAAAAGAAGCAGAACCTGCTGCTCGAGTTGCGGAACTATGAAGAAAATGCCAAGGTAATTTGGTTGAGAGAAGGAGACGGGAGGACTCAGATCTGATCTTTGACAAAAATATATGGTCTTTAGAGAGAACTGATGATAACCTGTACAAGGATTAAAAATCACTCTGTTATTAGTTATTACTAGCCGTCTCCTGCCAAGCATTGCTGTGGCCCAGTCTGTTGATCTGGAAAATAAAGTAATGAGAAACTGTTGGTTTCTAATATATGTAATTTCTTTCTGCTTGTGGGTAAATAGTATTTCTTGTTGTTTCTTTGTCAGTGTTGATGTGGAGATTGTCTGCTTTGCCTACTCTGGAACATGCAACATATCATTGTCCCTTTTTAAATCTAGGATACTACTGCATATCTGTGTATGTGAAGCAAATATATCTATATCTATGGCTGGATGGCTCTTTGTCAGGAGGGCTTTGATTACGTTTTCTCTCCCTGGTGAAGGAAGTTGGACTGGATGGCCTTAAGTATTTTCTGTTGGTCATGGGGGTTCTGTGTGGAAAGTTTGCCCCAGTTATTGGCAGGGTTCAGAATGCTCTTTGATTTTTTGGGAACTATAAATCCCAGTAACTACAAATCCCAAATGTCAAGGTCTATTTCCCCCAAACTCCATTTGTGTGCATATTTGGGCATATGGAATATTTGTGCCAAGTTTGGTCCAGGTCCATCATTGTTTGAGTCCACAGTGCACTCTGGATATAGGTGAACTACAACTCCCAGACTCAAGGTCAATGCCCATCAACCCCTTCTAGTGTTTTCTGTTGGTCATGGGAGTCCTGTGTGCCACGTTTGGTTCAATTCCATCATTGGTGGAGTTCAGAATGCTCTTTGATTGTAGGTGAAATATAAATCCCAGTAACTACAACTCCCAAATGACAAAATCGTTTTTTTTTAGTGATGGTCACTCCTTGGGTTATTAGGCATCTTGTGACCAGATTTGGCAGCAATTTGTCCAGCGGTTTTTGAGTTATGTTAATCCCACAAACGAACATTACATTTTTATTTATATAGATTTCCATTCCGTTGATCAGGAAATGAGGCTGATACCACAACATTAAGTGCCTCGACTTCATTTTATAGAGACTTTGAGAGTTGTAGTTTTGTGAGATACCTAGATTCTTCATGCTTCACCCAACTATGACTTCTGTGATCCTGTAAGATGCAACCATATCAGATAGAGTGGCATGAAACAGCCATAGCTTATTATTATTATTATTATTATTATTATTATTATTATTATGTTTATGTTTATGTTTATTTATATCCTCAAAGGGGCTAACATTAAAAGCATTACAATACAATTTAAAATGTAGAAATATGCAAATAGTAAAGCAGTTTCACTTAGATGACTGTCAAGGGTTCGTGATCTGATTTCAGTCTTACTTTGTTTAAGCCAGTGTTTCTCAACCTGGGGGTCGGGACCCCTGAGGGGGTCGCGAAGGGGTGTCAGAGGGGTCGCCAAAGACCATCAGAAAACACAGTATTTTCTGTTGGTCATGGGGGTTCTGTGTGGGAAGTTTGGCCCAATTCTATCATTGGTGGGGTTCAGAACGCTCCTTGATTGTAGGTGAACTATAAATCCCAGTATCTACAACTCCCAAATGTCAAAGTCTATGTTCCCCAAATCCCATCAGTGTTCACATTTGGGCATACTGAATGTACGTACCAAGTTTGGTCCAGATCCATCATTGTTTGAGCCCACAGTGCTCTCTGGATGTAGGCGAACTACAACTCCCAAACTCAAGGTCAACGCCCACCAAACCCAGTATTTTCTGTTAGTCATGGGAGTTCTGTGTGCCAAGTTTGGTTCAATTCCATCATTGGTGGAGTTCAGAGTGCTCTTTGTTTACATGTTAACTATAAATCCCAGCAACTACAACTCCCAAATGACAAAATCAATCCCCCCACAACCCCACCAGTATTCAAATTTGGGCATACCGGGTATTTGTGCAAAATTTGCTCCAGTGAATGAAAATACATCCTGCAGATCATTATTTACATGGCAATTCATAATGTTAGGGTTATGGTTGGGGGTCACCACAACATGAGGAACTGTATTAAGGGGTCGCAGCATTAGAAAGGTTGAGAACCACTGTTCTAGAACATGGCCATACAGCCCGAAAAACTTACAGCAAGCCAGTGATTCCAGCCATGAAAGCCTTCATTTTGTGGAAGAAGTTTGGCCCAATTCTATCATTGGTGGGGTTCATAATGTTCTTTGATTGCAGGAGAACTATAAATCCCAGCAACTACAACTCCCAAATATCAAGGTCTATTTTCTTCAAGCTCCACTAGTGTCCACATTTGGGCATATATGGTATTTGTGCCAAATTTGGTCCCATGAATGAAAATACACCCTGCATGTCAGATATTTACATTACCATTCATAATAGTAACAAAATTACAAAAATAATGTTATTGTTGGGGTCACCACAACGTGAGGAACTGTAGTAAGGGGTCCCGGCATTGCGAAGGTTGAGAAACACTGGTTTAAGCTCTTCTAAAATGGAAACGAATTCACTTAGACTCCTGTTTTACAGCAAGTGGAACTCAACACTCAAGTGAATGAGGCGGATGGGCAAAAGGGGGTGATCCCAGCCAACACCCAGCTCCAGACGGCACTCTCGGTCAACCTGGGATCCGATAGCGAATCTGCTCATGTCGAGTTGTGCATTTCCACATCCAATGGTGAGATACGTGTAGCATTGAATGGCTTGTCATCACAATGGGGGGAAAAAAATTAAAGTCCCAATTGCAAGTAAATTTAGATCTGTTATTAATGGGAGTACTAGATACTCTTTCGGTCAGCAAGTTCAGCAGCTCAGCGGTTTAACCCACTGGGCCACTGGAGGCTCATACTATATATGGGTAATACCAGTATTGCGACATAGAAATGCGATCACAAAAGGATTAGGTGTATTTGCACTAGAATTAAGTGCAAGTCATAGGATAGATGGGCCCCTGGTGGCATAGCAGGTTAAACCACTGAGCTGTTGAACTTGCTGACCGAAATGTTAGTGGTTCAAATCTGGGAAGCCCCAGCTTCTGCCAACCTAGCATTTCAAAAACATTCAAATGTGAGTAGATCAGTAGGTACTGCTCTGACAGGAAGATAACTGTTTGGTTCAGTTCCATCACTGGCAGAGTTCAAAATGCTCTTTGATTGTAAATGAACTATAAATCCCAGCAACTACAACTCCCTAACATTTTTTTGAGTGATGATCACTCCTTGGGTTAGTAGGTGTCTTGTGGCCAAATTTGGCGGCAATTCATTTCAGTGGTTTTTGAGTTATGTTAATCCCACAAACGAAAATTACATTTTTATTTATATAGACTAGCTTTCCCCTGCCACGTGTTGCTGTGGCCCACATGGGGTTCTGTGTGGGAGGTTTGGCCCAATTCTATCGTTGGTGGGGTTCAGAATGCTCTGTGATTGTAGGTGAACTATAAATCCCAACAACTACAACTCCCAAATGTCAAGATTCTATTTTCCCCAAACTCCACCAGTGTTCACATTTGGGCATATTGAGTATTTGTGTAGAGTTTGGTCCAGATCCATCATTGTTTGAGTCCACAGTGATCTCTGGATGTAGGTGAACTACAACTCCAAAACTAAAGGACACTGCTCACCAAACCCTTCCAGTTTTCTGTTGGTCATGGGAGTCCTGTGTGCCATATTTGGTTCAACTCCATCGTTGGTGGGGTTCAGAATGCTCTTTGATTGTAGGTGAACTATAAATCCCAGCAAACTACAACTCCCAAATGACAAAATCATAATTTTTTGAGTGATGGTCACTCCTTGTGTTGTGAGACGTTTTGTTGCCAAATTTGGTGTGATTTCATTCTTTGGTTCTTTTGTTTTTAAGGTATTCATTATGCACAGAGCATTTTTTATATATATAGACGAGAGGAAGCCTATTAAATCAGTGACAAAAGGATTGTGTGTGTGTGTGTACGACATTGTGCACATTTCAAAACTCTTTCCAAAGATGTGCAGGGTGCCACATTGGAATGGGTTTGCAAGACTAAAAATGGGAACTGTGACAAGAGGGCAGATTTGCTCCTTTTCCATTCAGAAGCCGGGTAGGGCTGACATGAAAACCATGCCAAGGAAAACCCAGTCATTGGCCTTTTCTCCCCTTTTGTGAAGACACCGTCATCAGAGCCGTGCTCATCTTTGCCGAGGGGATCTTTGAAGGGGAGAGCCACGTGATCCACCCCAACCTGCAGAACCTTTCAAGCTGCATCAAGGTTCCCCTCACTCCCCCCAAGGACGTCCCCGTGGAGCTGAACATCAAGGCCTTCGTCGGTTACAGGAATAGGTAAGGAAGATGGCGACTCATACAGATAGCACTATGTAAAGACATTTGAAAGAATTTCTGTTCCTGGTTTGAAAGTGTTATTTTCTGTTTAATTGTGCAGCCTGTTGGAGCTCAGCCTGTGATTGTGTTTCAGGATCAGGGTGCTTTGGATGTGGGGAGTGATGTCAATGAATTGCAATGAATTGCAAGATGGCAATGGTTTGGTCAATGATATTGATGCAGAGAGACCCCTGTTCATAGTGTAGTTTCCCATGAGAATGTCCCTGAAGGGTGTGGGGATGATGGTGTACTCCCAGAATTGCTACCAGAGAGTTCCCGGGATTTGGGGCTTGAAAACAACTCGGCACCTGGCCCAGCTGCAGAAATTAATGAGCAAATAGATCAGTGTTTCTCAACCTGGGGGTCGGGACCCCTGAGGGGATGGCAAGGGGGTGTCAGAGGGGTCGCCAAAGACCATAAGAAAACATAGTATTTTCTGATGGTCATGGGGATTCTATGTGGGAAGTTTGAGCCAATTCTATTGTTGGTTGAGCTCAGAATAGTCTTTGATTGTAATGAACTATAAATCCCAGCAACTACAACTCCCAAATGTCAAGATCTATTTTCCCCAGACTCCACCAGTATTCACATTTGGGCATATTGAGTATTCATGCCAAGTTGGGTCCAGATCCACCATGGTATGAGTCCACAGTGCTCTCTGGATATAGGTGAACTACAACTGCCAAACTCAAGGTCAATGCCCATCAACCCCTTCCAGTGTTTTCCATTGGTCATGGGAGCCAAGTTTGGTTCAAATTAATTGCTGGTGGAGTTCGGAATGCTCTTTGATTATAAGTGAACTATAACTCCCAGCAACTACAACTCCCAAATTACAAAATCAATCCTCCCCCAACCTCATTAGCATTCACATTTGAGTGTATTGGGTATTTGTGCTCAGTGAATGAAAATGCACTCTGCATATCAGATATTTACATTATGATTTATAACAGTAGTAAAATGATTGTTATGAAGTAGCAACGAAAACAATATTATGGTTGGGGGTCACCACAACATGAGGGACTGTATTAAGGGGTCACGGCATTAGGAAGGTTGAGAACCACTGAAATAGATAGATGGCAGGAGATTAGTCAAAACAGACAAACCAAACAGTGGCTTCGGCGTTCTGCCAGGCTCCAACAGAAAAAGATAAGGGAATCTCAATTAAAGCGAAACCAATTTCTGTGTGCTGGGGATAGCTTGACAAGGGGATAAAAGTTCCAAATACGGGAAATATAGCCAGATGAAGCATCATTTGGAATCAAGTTAAGTTCCCGTACTTGTTTCATGGAAGCCTTGCTTGAAAAATTCACGCTTAAGTACTTCTTGTTTCATGGTTTTGATTCTTGGATTTTATGATCTACATTGAGAAACTTGAGCAAAATGTGCTATAGCAGGATTGTTATAATATGGTGGTTTAAATGAAGTGAAATATTGTTTGCAGTTTAAACTATGTGTGGTGCAGCAATGCAATGCAGTATAAGAGTTAAATGCATAGAGCTGTGCTTTGATTCCTAGAGAGTAACTTTGCAGTGTTCCGGTAATTTTGTTTGCATCCCATTGAATCAGATTACCATCAGTTGGTGCTTCCAGCTAGAGAATAGACGTGTTTTATTCTACTCCTGTAAATAGTGTAAATTTTCAATAAAAGATAAGAGCCGTTCCGAGGCTTTGAAGCTGACTGAGAAAGTACGCTTCATTATTTGCTTGTGCTTCCAAACAGATACTCAGAGGTCAATAAATCAATAAGGATGCCCTGCACAAACACAGTTTTTGCACTTTTTCCGTTTTTTAAACGGAACCAATTAGGAAATGACATTTATAACTCAGGAAAAAGATGGCACCAGTTTGGAGTCGATTGGTTGACCTGCGGATATGGGGACCCAGTGGGTTTCCATATCCGTGGTTGAAAGGAACGCAGTTTCGGCCTCCCCGGGATGCTGTGGGAGCATCCCGGTGAGCTGATGGAGTTCTGCGGCTCCAGAAAGGAAAGGTTCATAAGGATAGTGAAGTTAGAGTCAGTAAAGGACACAAAGTATAACTCTAGAGAGAGAAAAACTTAAAAGAAAGGATACTTTTTATTGGGGGGGGGATTGTTACAATGAAACAGGGTGAGCTCAGTAAGAAAAAGAAAGGTCTCTCTCTGTGTTGAAGCTGCTTCTGCAGCAACAGTCCCTTTGTCTTCAGCAATCGTGTTATGTAGTGTAATGTGATTGGTGCTTCCTGCGATGTACAGAGAATGGACGTGTTTTATTCTGCTCCTGTAAATAGTGTAAATTTGCAATAAAAGATAAGAGCTGCTCCGAGGCTTTGGAGCTGACTGAGGTAGTACACTTCATTATTTGCTTTTGTGCTTCTGAGCAGATGCTCAGAGTTCAATAAATCAATAAGGATGTCCTGCACAAACACAGTTTTTGCAGTTTAATAAACTTTTTCCGTTTTTTAAAAAATGATAGAACCAATTAGGAAATGACGTTTATAACTCAGGAAAAAAGATGGCACCAGTTTGGAGTCGATCGGTTGACCTGCGGATATGGGGACCCAGTGGGTTTCCATATCCGCAGTTCAAAGGAACGCAGTTTCAGCCTCCCCGGGATGCTGCGGGAGCATCCCGGTGAGCTGACGGAGTTCTGCGGCTCTGGAAAGGAAAGTTTCATAAGGATAGTAAAATTAGAGTCAGTAAAGGACACAAAGTATCACTCTAGAGAGAGAAAAACTTAAAAGAAAGGATACTTTTTATTGGGTTGTTACAATGAAACAGGGTGAGCTCAGTAAGAAAATAAAGGTCTCCATGTTGAAGCTGCTTCTGGAGCAACAGTCCCTTTGTCTTCAGCAATCGTGTTACATAGTGTAATGCGATTGGTTCTTTCTGTGATGTACAGAGAATGGCCATGTTTTATTCTGCTCCTGTAAATAGTGTAAATTTGCAATAAAAGATGAGAGCCGCTCTGAGGCTTTGGAGCTGACTGAGGTAGTACGCTTCATTATTTGATTTGTGCTTCCGAGCAGATGCTCAGAGGTCAATAAATCAATAAGGATGTCCTGCACAAACACAGTTTTTGCAGTTTAGTAAACTTCTTCCGTTTTTAAAAAATGATAGAACCAATTAGGAAATGACATTTACAACTCAGGAAAAAAGATGGCACCAGTTTGGAGTCGATCGGTTGACCCGCGGATATGGGGACCCAGTGGGTTTCCATATCCGCGGTTCAAAGGAACGCAGTTTCGGCCTCCCTGGGATGCTGCGGGAGCATCCCGGAGAGCTGACAGAGTTCTGCGGCTCCGGAAATGAAAGGTTCATAAGGATAGTAAAGTTAGAGTCAGTAAAGGACACAAAGTATCACTCTAGAGAGAGAAAAAGTTAAATGAAAGGATGCTTTTTATGGGGGGGGGCATTGTTACAATGAAACATGGTGAAAACATCTTTGTGTTGAAGCTGCTTCTGGAGCAACAGTCCCTTTGTCTTTAGCAATCGTGTTATGTAGTGTAATGTGATTGGTGCTTCCTGCGATGTACAGAGAATGGACGTGTTTTATTCTGCTCCTGTAAATAGTGTAAATTTGCAATAAAAGATAAGAGCCGCTCCGAGGCTTTGGAACTGATTGAAGTAGTACCCTTCATTATTTGCTTTTGTGCTTTCGAGCAGACGCTCAGTGGTCAATAAATCAATAAGGATGTCCTGCACAAACACAGTTTTTGCAGTTTAATAAACCTTTTCCATTTTTATGACAGAACCAATTAGGAAATGACATTTACAACTCAGGAACAAAAAATGTGATGCACTTTTTGTGTATTTTTCCTTTCAGCACACAGTTCCATGTTTTTGAGCTGTCCAGGCAACTTCCTCGCTTCTCCATGTACATTCTGAGCAGCCCCGATTCTGCTCCCGGGCCTTTGAGCTTTGTGCGGTTTACCCTCAACGAGAGGGTGCAAATGGTGAGTCTTCAGCTTTTTCTTACTTTGGCTGTGCTTTTGTCTCCCAGTAAAATGTCTAAAATAAATATAAATATAAATTGGTCCCTGGTCAAGTGATCCCTGGTCAAAAAGAGGTTGGGAAACATTGGCTTAGGTGGATAGTAAGCTGGGCTGAAGGTCGGGTGCTTACCCTGACCCGGACTTCATGCTGCCAACCTTTGATTGGTAAGATCTATTGCTACTGGCGATTAACCAGCTGTGCTAAAGCCCAGCCAAAAGATATATATGTATATGCCGACATATTTGTATATGTTGACGTCTACAAATAAAGGACACCCATTTCATTTTCCTTTATTTTATTTTCCTGCTTTCTACCAAAGTGAGAGCCAAGGTGACTTTGGTATAAATATAGGAAATAAATAAATAAATAAATAAATAAATAAATAAATAAGGTGACAAGGGGTATAAATATAGGAAATAAAATAAAATATAAAAAATAAAATAATATAAAATTTTAAATAAAATTTAAATAAAAATTTAAGTAAAATAAAATATTTTTAAATAAAATAAAATATAAAATAAAATAAAAAATTAAATAACAATTTAAATAATTTTTAAAAATAAAATAAAATAAAATTTTAAATAGAATAAAATAAATTTTTTAAATAAAATAAAATATTTTTTTAAAATAAAATAAAATATTTTTTTAAAATAAAATAAAATAAAATTTTAAATAAAATAAAATAGGAGGACTTTCGCATCTCTGCTTATGAACCCACCAGGACTTTGAGATCTTCCGGGGAGGCCCTGCTCTCGATCCCGCCTGCTCCTCAAGCACGGCTGGCGGGGATGAGAGATAGGGCCTTCTCGGTGGTGGCTCCTCGGCTGTGGAACGCCCTTCCCACGGACATTAGGCTAGCACCATCTTTAATGGTATTCCGCAAAAAACTGAAGACCTGGCTGTTTGTGCAGGCGTTCGAATAACTAGTGCAATGATTGGCAATGAACTTAGGAATGGAACAATGGATGATGAATTCTGGATTATGTTTTTTGGATGATGAGACGATAGTGATTGGTTAATGTAGTAATTGTTTATTGTTGGGTAATATGTTAATTTGTTAATTGCTGTTACATTATTGCATTGAATTATTGCTTTTATTGGTTGTGAACCGCTGTGAGTCACCCTCGGGCTGAGAACAGCGGTATATAAGCAAAATAAAATAAATAAATAAATAAATAAATAAATAAATTTGGTGACTGTTGGGGTATGTGTGTGTCAAGCCACAAAATGGATTCCAGAGATTATGTGGACTATGAATCACACTTAGTCCACTTCTACATAGGGTTGCTGTGAGTTTTTGAGCTGTATAACCATATTCCAGTAGCATTCTCTCCTGACTTTTGCCTGCATCTGTGGCTAATGGCATCTTTAGAGGTTCTATTTCCAGGGAAGTAAGTGGAGTGTATATCTGTGCAATAATGTCCAGGGTGGGAGAAAGAACCCTTGTCTGTTTGAAGCAAGTGTGAATGGTGCATTTATTTATTTATTTGCGCTATTTCTATCCCGCCCATGTCAGCCCAAAGGCGACTCAGGGTGGCGTACAGAGTTGGCACAATTCGATGCCATATATAAAATATATACATTGATAAAACATTACAGTACATTTAAAATCATAAAAACAATGAACAATAAAAAATTAAAAAAACTATATCCTCTCATTCAAACCGTTATCCGTTCGTCTTGGCTGTTCCTGGGTCATTTTCCGATTCAAGTTTGTCTGTTTATGCTGAGGTTCTGAAAGCTTGCTTGAAGAGCCAAGTTTTCACTCTTTTTCGAAAGGTCAGGAGAGAGGGGGCTGAAGGGAGTTCCACAGCCGAGGGGCCGCCACAGAGAAGGCCCTGTTTCTCGTCCCCGCCAAACGTGCTTGCGAATTAGCAAGCTTGAATAACATTGAGTAGCCATGAAGCTAGCAATCAAGTGCGTGTTAACACCTCCCAATTTGAGGATGCCTCCAGGCAACAACAGGCAGGCTACCTCTATGCGGATACCCTCACTGATTGACTTTGCAGCTTCATGGCTACTCAATGCTATTCAAGCTCGCTAATTGCAACATCCACACTTGCTTCCAACAGACAAGGGTTCATTCTCCTACCCTGGACATTATTCCACAACAACAACAACAATTTTTATTGATTAGCCAGTTGGCCTTATCAAAAACAGATAGTGCAGACATGACATACAAACATTATTCCACAGATATATATACACTCCACTTGCTTCACTTCCGACAGAAGATGCCATTAGCCACAGATGCAGGCAAAACTTCAGGAGAGAATGCTACTGAAACATGGCCGTACAGCCAGAAAAACGCACAGCAACCCAGTGATTCCAGCCATGACACATCGAACTCAACCTTATTTTGTCACTTTACCTAAGACACACTGAATGCATATAATAGGGCTCGAGCAGCCATTGGTTTTGGTATCCATACCAAACATTGGTGCCGTTGGATACACCCAGAGGGTCATGGTGTGCATTTGTGTTTCAAGATCGTCATGTGGCTAAAGCAGAGTTTCCTGTTGCCAGAAGACTTGGAGATCCAAAACGAGTCCTTTGAGGTGTGCTTCACGTCTCTGCGCGACGCGGGACAGCTGTGGATCAAAATGACGCCAAGCGGAGAGGTACCTTTTTTTTTTGCATTGGGGTATTGTAGCTACTAGGGTTGTAAAGAAGCCTAGTAGCGACCTCAGAGGGAACATTTAAGGGGAAGTGGGTTATGCAGGGTAAGGGTTAGGGTTGTCCAGCAATGTGCCACAGATGACAAGCCAAAGTGTATCTGGGCTAGTTGAAGTATTTGCAACTTGTTACTTCTATGCGCTCAACAAAATCCATATAGAACCATAGAATTGGGAGAGACTCCTGGGGCCATCCAGTTCAAACTCATTCTGCCAAAGCACCCCCGACAGATGGCCATCCAGACTCTGCTTAGAAACCTCTAGAGAAGGAAACTCCACGGTGATGGTGTTAATAGAATTCTAGAGTTGGAAGAGATCCCTGAGGCCATCCAGCCCAACCTCCTTCTTCCAGACAGGAAAAGCACAATAAAAGCAGCCCTGACAGATGGCCATCCAGACTCTGTTTAGGAACTTCCAAAGAAGGAGAATCCATGATTATGATGGTGATGGTGATGGTGATGGTGATGATGATGATGATGATGATGATGATAGAATCCTAGAGTTGGAAAAGACCCCAAGGGTCATCCAGGCCAACTCCCTTCTGTCATGCAGGAAAAGCAAAATCAATGCATCCCCGACAGATGGCCATCCAGAGAAGGAAACCCCATGATGATGATGGTGATGATGATAGAATCCTAGAGTTGGAAGAGAACCCAAGGGCCATCCAGGCCAACCCCCTTTTGTCATGCAGGAAAAGCACAATCAAAGCATCCCCAACAGATGGCCATGCAACCACTGCTTAGAAACCTCCAGAGAAGGAAACCCCATGATGATGATGATGATGCTATGATGATGATGGTGATGATGGTGATAGAATCCTAGAGTTGGAAGAGACCCTAAGGGCCATCCAGGCGAACTCCCTTCTGTCATGGAGGAAAAGAACAATCAAAGCACCCCCAACAAATGGCCATCCAGACTCTGCTTAGAAACCTCCAGAGAAGGAAACCCCATGATGATGATGATGGTAATGATGATAGAATACTAGAGTTGGAAAAGACCGCAAGGGCCATCCAGTCCAACTCCCTTTTGTCATGCAGGAAAAGCACAATCAAAGCATCCCCGACAGATGGCCATCCAGACTCTGTTTAGGAACCTCCAAAGAAGGAGACTCCATGATAATGATGATAGAATCCTAAAGTTGGAAGAGACCCCAAGGGCCACCCAGTCCAACTCCCTTTTGTCATGCAGAGAAAGCAAAATCAAAGCACCCCAACAGATGGCCATGCAACCTCTGCTTAGAAACCTCCAGAGAAGGAAACCCCATGATGGTGATGATGATGATGATGATAATGATGATGGTGATGGTGATGATGATAGAATCCTAGAGTTGGAAGAGACCCCAAGGGCCATCCAGTCCAACTCCCTTTTGTCATGCAGGAAAAGCACAATCAAAGCATCCCCAACAAATGGCCATCCAGACTCTGTTTAGGAACCTCCAAAGAAGGAGACTCCATGATAATGATGATAGAATCCTAAAGTTGGAAGAGACCCCAAGGGCCACCCAGTCCAACTCCCTTTTGTCATGCAGAGAAAGCAAAATCAAAGCATCCCCAACAAATGGCCATCCAGACTCTGTTTAGGAACCTCCAAAGAAGGAGACTCCATGATAAGGGTGATAGAATCCTAGAGCTAGAAGAGACCCCAAGGGCCATCCAGTCCAACTCTTTTTTGTCATGCAGGAAAAGCACAATCAATGCATCCCCGACAGATGGCCATCCAGACTCTGTTTAGGAACCTCCAAAGAAGGAAACTCCACAATGATGATGATAATAGAATCCTAGAATTAGAAGAGACCCCAAAGGCCATCCAGTCTACCTTCTGTCATGCAGGAAAAGCTCAATCAAAGCATCTCCAACAGATGGCCATCCAGCGTCTAGGATTATTTAAGAGAATCCTATAACTGGAAGAAACCCCAAAGGCCAAAATGAGTCTCCATAGCCTGAGGCAGGGAGTTCCACTGTTGAACATCCATTTGAATTTTATTGCGCCATTGTATACAATGGGACGTGATCATCAATGGATTTTGGTATCCATGTAGGTCCCTGGAACCAATCCCCAGCTGATACCGAGGGCCCATTGTGCTTGTATTTCACTGTCATGTGGGGTGTCTCGGTCGTTCTGCAAGCCCCAGGCCAGACCAGCTCATCCTCATCAATACTGCAGATTTAAGACAGATTTAAGACCACTCTTAACCACCGATGGTTGATATTGTGATATGAAACATTTTTCTGGTGTGTATTTTATTTTTATTTTTTCTGGCCTCTTAGATCTCTATCAACACAGACAACATCGACTTGGCTGGAGACATCGTCCAGTCCATGGCCTCCTTCTGGGCCATTGAAGACTTGCAGGTTGAAGCTGACTTCCCGGCGTATTTCGAGGAGATGCGCAAGGCCCTTGTTGTGGTGAGAGAGAAACAGGACCGTTCTAATATCGGCACTGATGGCAGGGAGCGAGGCCCACATCTCTTTCTTGCCGGCTGATCCTTCTGGCTGATCTTGTTATGTCTGTTCCTCCCTCATAGGTGGACAATTCCCACGCGGTCTGCCAGAAGCTCACGGCCAACATGGCGGACAGCTCCAACCTCATCCGCAGCGTCCTGGTCCGGGCGGAGGATTCGCGCCTCATGAGCGACATGTGAGTTGCCTTCGCACTGTAGTCACATCTTTGCAGCTGCCATTTGAGCCGAGGGCATTTGTTAGCTAAGACATTATAATTAATATTTTGGAGCTTCTCTAGACCAGGCATCTTAATAATAATAATAATAATAATAATAATAATAATAATAATAATAATAATAATAATACTTTATATATACCCCACTCCATCTTCCCCAGGGGTAGTCGGTGCGGCTTACATGAGGCCAAGCCCATCAATATAGTACATACATTATAAAGCAAAACATAACAATACCTGAAAATAAAATACATAAAATGCAAAAATCAATATAATAACCGTAACAATATAATCAATATAATCTTACTGTTTTTCCACTCGCTAACACTTGTGGCCTTTTTGTAAGCGATCCCAGGTATTTAAGTATATAAACCAAATATTTATTGGGTTGCTGTGAGTTTTTCAGTCTATATGGCCATGTTCCAGAAGCATTTTCTCCTGATGTTTCGCCCACATCTATGGCAGGCTTCCTCAGAGGTTGTGAGGTCTGTTGGAAACTACGAAAATTGGGTTTATATATATGTGGAATAATGTCCAAAGTGGAGAAAGAACTCTTGTCTGTTGGAGGCAGGTGTGACTGTTGATTAGCACTGAATGGCTTTGCAGCTTCAAGGCCTGGCTGGTTACTTCCTGGGGGATCCTTTGTTGGGAGGTCTTAGCTGGCCCTGATTGATTTCTTTTTATTTTTATTTTTATTTATTAGCTGTCCTCTGCCATGTGTTGCTGTGGCCCAGTCTGTGTATATGTGTTTTGTGTGTGTATTAGGGCTGGGCGGTTTCGTTCGTTAATTTCGTAATTCGTTATTAATTTGTTATTTTTTTTATAACGAAGCGATATTGAACCATTCAGGAGCAACTAAAAATCGAAACGAATTTTTAAAATTTATTTCGTAATTGTTTCGTAATGGTTTCGTAATGGTTTCGAAATGGTTTCGAAATTATTTCGTTATTATTTCCGTATGTCTGGTGCAAGTTTTATGGTTGTTGTTTGTTTTATCAGTGATAAAAAATAAATTATCATACCAAGAGTCAACAACAGAGGGAGAGGGAAGCTTCAGAAGTTCCCCCTGTCCCATTTGGAGGGTTTTTTAGCGTATTGCGCAATCGCGCCCGCCATTAACGAATCGATTCGTAATTGTTTCGAAAATTTTGTAAATATCGAACTTTTTTAAAGAAAAATTTCGGAATTCTTTTAAAAAACGAAACGCAAACCCCCCCCAAAAATGAATCGAGTTTAGAAACAAATTTTTCCGTGGTTGCCCAGCCCTAGTGTGTGTATATATGAGTATATATATATACACACACAAATAACTTGCTTGTTATTTTATTACTGCTTGTTGTTTTTGATGTGTTGTTGGGCTTGGCCTCATGTAAGCCGCTCCGAGTCCCTTGCGGAGATGGTGGCGGGGTATAAATAAAATTTACTATTATTATTATTATTATTATTATTATTATATGTGTATGTCTGTGTGTTTGTGTATATGTGTATATATGTGTGCTTTTTGTATATATGTGGTATTGGACATGTATTGTAATGCATTTTATTGGGTTTTTTTTGCTTTTTAAGTCCTTTCTGCTGTGTTTTTCAGTGTTTTTATGAGTGATGGTCATTTGTTGGCCTGATCAGTGTCTTGTGTCCAAATTTGGTGTCAATATGTCCAGTGGTTTTTGAGTTATGTTAATCCCACAAACGAACATTACATTTTTATTTCTATAGATTTATTTATTTACAACATTTATATGCCACCCTTCTCACCCTGAAGGGGACTCAGAGTGGCTTACAAGTAATATGTAAATATATATATTATGTATTACTATATTGCACTATGCCATTATACTGTAATATTATTAGTAATATTACATGTAATATAAAATATATAATTATAATTTATTATTAGTATTATATTGAAGCCCCTGGTGGCGCAGTGGGTTAAAGCCCTGTGCCAGCAGGACTGTAGACTGACAAGTCGCAGGTTTGAATCCGGGGAGAGCACGGATGAGCTCCCTCTATCAGCTTCAGCTCCTCATGCAGGGACATGAGAGAAGCCTCCCACAAGGATGATAAAACATCAAAACATCCGGGCGTCCTCTGGGCAACATCCTTGCAGATGGCCAATTCTCTCACACCAGAAACAATTTCCAGTTTCTCAAGTTGCTCCTGACACGACAAAAAAAAAGTATTATATTGTATTACATTATAATATTATCAATATTATATGTATATACAATATATTATATTATATTATATTATATTATATTATATTATATTATATTATATTATATTATATTATTAGTACCTTGCAGGAGACAAGGTGGAACTGTCTTCCTGGCCCCCTTTCTTCACTCTGGTCTTTTGAGGTTTTGTGCATTGTAACTCCTAGTCATTTATGTAATGAGCATAAAGACTTCTTGTCTGGAATTCCCCAGCTTTTTCAGTGACTATAGATGTGGGCGAAATGTCAGGAGAGGATGCTTCTGGAACATGACCACACAGCCCAGAAAACTCACAGCAATTCAGGCAATGAAAACCTTCGACAACACAAATATTTATTGATAACAGACCAGAATTGCTAGCAGACATGGGCAAACTTAGGCCCTCTAGGTGTTTTGGACTTCAACTCCCACAATTCCTAACAGTGGTTTGTTATGACAGGAAAAATATGAAGAGACGATACATGGAACTGTACGACCTGAACCGGGATTTGCTCTCCCAGTACAAGATCCGCTGCTCCAATCACACGGAGCTTCTGAACAACCTGAAGGCCATCAACCAAGCCATCCAGCGAGCGGGACAGCTGCGGGGTGAGCACTGCGGGAGATTTAAGGGGGGGGGGGAGAGTTCTTTCACTGTTTACGTTCTGCTTCTTTGGCATGAGATACAATTATTTATTATTATTATTATTATTAACTTTATTTGTACCCCGCTAGCATCTCCCGAAGAACTCGATACGGCTTACAAAGGCCAAGGCCTCAATACACAAGATAACAATACAAAACCTAAAGCAAATTAAAAACAATTAAAGCAATATTAAACAATAAACAATACACCAAGACACAATAAAACTGGGCCGGGCCAGAGTAATGGGTACAGAATTAAAAATGCTGATGTGACAAGTGGTATATAGGGATTATAGGGTAAGTGCAGTGTGCAGCAATGTTAGTTCTAATAAAGTGCTTCTGGGACTTGTTATCGGAGATTCCTATTCTGGAAAGGCGCATCGGAACAGCCAGGTCTTCAAGTTCTTTCTAAAGACTGCCAGTGTAGGGGCCTGTCTAAGATCTTTGGGGAGGGTGTTCCCCAAAGAGTCGGGGGGCCACCACAGAAAAGGCCCTGTCTCGTATCCCCACCAAACGCGCTTGCGACACTGGTGGAATCACGAGCAGGGCCTCTCCGGATGAACGAAGTGAACGCGTGGGTTTGTAGACGGAGATGCAGTCACGCAGGTAGGCTGGTCCCAAACCGTTCAGGGCTTTGTAGGTAAGCACCTGCACCTTAAATTGGGCTCGGAAAATAAACGGCAGCCAGTGGAGCTCCTTAAACAGGAGGGTTGACCTCTCTCTGTAAGGAGCACCAGTTAACATCCTGGCCGCTGCCCATTGGACCAGTTGAAATTTCCAAGCTGTTTTCAAGGGCAGCCCCATGTAGAGCGCATTACAGTAGTCCAATCTATTTCAATAGCATTTTGCCTTAACTCGTAGCATGAGCTGATCTGAATCTGTCTAAATTCAGAAGTCCCAGAGTATTGTTGTTGTCATTATTATTTCTTGACACTACCCCTTCAATTATTCTGCAAGATTAAACTATTGCATTTCAATCTCCTCGGTCCCTCGTCTCAATTGGGAAGTTAAAAGGACTAGAGATCTATAAGGAGACACTGTGCACCAATCGTTCCTTTTTCTTCTTTCCCCAGTTGGTAAACCCAAGGCCCAAGTGATCGCCGCTTGCCGGGACGCCATCAAGAACAACAGCGTGAATATGCTGATCAAAATAATGCGCGTGGGGACGACATCTTCCTAGAAACCAAAGCAAAACACATCTGGACTCTCACCATAAAAGATACCTAGTGGCAGGTAGGCTGTAAGCGTAATGCTATCTGATCAGCTCCTAGTGACTGTGTGGTAAAAGCAGAAGCTCATTTGGAGTAGGATCTATGTCTGCGCTCTCCCAAAGGAAGGATTACTGTGACACATTGCTAGCGGAGCACAAAGACAGTGGCACTTGGTGGGGAAAGAGACAAAACATGGACGTCTGTGAACATCAGGCGCATGGAGGGATGTCCTGGATATTTCTTGGAATGGTAAAATTGTGGAACGAGGCCAAAGGCAGGAACTACAACTAAATGACCGAGTCAGAGACAGGCTTTATTTATTACAACCGTAATATTTTGTAGCACTTTTTACAATAAAATAAGCAAACCATAATTTTCTATAATCCTAGTCTTGTCCATAATTTACGTAATGCTTGAATAGAGCATGAGAAGAGCAATATATAGTAAAATGGGTTGTTGTCGGTATTTTCGGGCTAATCACCTCTCAACAAAAGATTGCCCCAGGCACTGCCAGGCCATCAAATGCTAATCAAGGTGGTCAGTTGAAACATTCACACTTAGCTCCAGCAGACAACAGTCCTTTGTCCCATCCTGGTCATTCCACAGATATATAAACCCACTTTCCTAGTTCCAACAGACCTCACTACCTTTGAGGATGCTTACCACAGATGCAGGCGAAACGTCAGGAGAGAATGCCTCTAGAATATGGCCATATAGCCCGAAAAAACCTACAACAACCCAGTAATTCTGGCCATGAAAGCCTTCCAGAATACAAGGATTAAAAATCACTGGGTTGTTGTAGGTTTTTTTGGGCTATATGGCCATGGTCTAGAGCAATGATGGGCAACCTTTTGAGCTTGGTGTGTCAATACTCGCCAAAAAACCGAGCATAACTCGAGTGGGGTGTCACTTCGAGAAAAAAAACATAATTTCATGATATTTAGAGTTTAATAACAAAAATATATTATTGTCATATATAACTGTATTTAATAAACCAAAAGCTAATTAGTTAACATCTGTTTTTTCTATAATGTCATATATCTTGGCATTATAGAAAAATGCTGGTGTAGGAGCCGAGGATGAAATATCCTTGGGATGCGCCCCCATCTTCTCTGTATGCGTCCGCATGCGGCTGTGTGTCATCAAAAATGGCTACGTGTGTCAGTGCTGACACGTGTCATAGGTTCGCCATCATGGGTCTAGAGGCATTCTCTCCTGACGTTTCGCCCCTAAGTCAGGGTGAGAAGAGCGGAGTATAAATATTTTAAATAATAAATACATAAATAATAAAGAGCACAGTCTAAGGATTATTTCTGCATTTGATTTATTAAAATATTCCCATCCAAACCCAAGTAACGAAGGTGGAGGCATTACTTTTCATTCAACCCTCGTAATAAGAACATCAGTCGTTACTGAACTGCTTTTTCTGTCAATTTGTTGCAAAACATGTTTTGGTGCCTAATTTGTAAAATCATATTGTAACTTGACGTTTAATAGGCTTTTTCTTAATCTTTCCTTAATATCCAACGTTTTTGCTTATCCGACGTTCTGCTGACCCGTTTATGTTGGATAAGTGAGACTCTACTGTATCATACAAGTCTCTGAATTTTGAAATGGAGCTCCAAAGCTTTGCACAGCCCTAGTAGTTAGTACTCTCTTTTTGACTTTGAATCATAGAATCAAAGAGTTGGAAGAGACCTCATGGGCCATCCAGTCCAACCCCCTGCCAAGAAGCAGGAATATTGCATTCAAATCACCCCTGACAGATGGCCATCCAGCCTCTGTTTCCAAAGCTTCCAAAGAAGGAGCCTCCACCACACTCCGGGGCAGAGAGTTCCACTGCTGAACGGCTCTCACAGTCAGGAAGTTCTTCCTCATGTTCAGATGGAATCTCCTTTCTTGTAATTTCCACATCCTAGTCTCCATGGAAGCAGAAAACAAGCTTGCTCCCTCCTCCCTGTGGCTTCCTCTCACATATTTATACATGGCTATCATATCTCCTCTCAGCCTTCTCTTCTTCAGGCTAAACATGCCCAGCTCCTTAAGCCGCTCCTCATAGGGCTTGTTCTCCAGACCCTTGATCATTTTAGTCGCCCTCCTCTGGACACATTCCAGCTTGTCAATATCTCTCTTGAATTGTGGTGCCCAGAATTGGACACAATATTCCAGATGTGGTCTAACCAAAGCGGAATAGAGCATGGTGAGCATTACTTCCTTAGATCTAGACACTAGGCTCCTCTTGATGCAGGCCAAAATCCCATTGGCTTTTTTTGCCACATCACATTGTTGGCTCATGTTTAACTTGTTGTCCACGAGGACTCCAAGATCTTTTTCACACGTACTGCTCTCGAGCCAGGCATCCCCCATTCTGTATCTTTGCATTTCGTTTTTTCTGCCTAAGTGGAGTATCTTGCATTTGTCCCTGTTGAACTTCATTTTGTTAGTTTTGGCCATTCATCTCTCTAATCTGTCAAAATCGTTTTGAATCCAGGATTATTTATTTTATTTTATTTATTTATTTGCGGCATTTATATACCGTCCTTCTCACCCCGAAGAGGACTCAGAACAGCTTACAATATATATTTTCATACAATATATATTATTAGCATAGTACAATATCAGTATTATATGTTACTATATTGCACTATGCCATTATATTGTAATATTATTAGTAATATTACATGTAATGTAAATATATAATTAAAACGCAAGATCCCCAAAGGTCCCAGTGGGGCATCTTCTCATAAAGGCACATGGCATGATGCAGTCTTTCCCAAAAATTATCTCCATTGTGCTCTGTGTGATAGGATCCTATGGCTGCCGTCACTATTCGTAGTAAACAAAGCTGAAGTCCCAGAATCCTATGTGTTCAGGCTGTGTTGCCGCCTGGCTCAGACTCTGGTGGTTTATGTACTTCACAAATTTCAGTGTTTCTCGGTCTCTGTAAATCAAGGCCAAGCAGTTGTCTTCTGGATTAACAGTCAGCAGCTGGAAGATAAAGCAAAATGAGAACGGCGAAGGAGACAAAACGGTAGTTATTTCATAGAATCATAGAATCAAAGAGTTGGAAGAGACCTCATGGGCCCAAATGTGAACACTGGTAGAGTTTGGGAAAAATAGAATCTTGACATTTGGGAGTTGTAGTTGCTGGGATTTATAGTTCACCTACATCCAGAGATCACTGTGGACTCAAACAATGATGGATCTGGACCAAATTTGACATGAATATTCCATATGAGCAACTACGAACACAGGTGGAGTTTGGGGAAAATAGACCTTGACATTTGGGAATTGCAGTTGCTGGGATTTATAGTTCACCTACAATCAAAGAGCATTCTGAACCCCACCAACGACGGAATTGAACCAGTCTTGGCACACAGAACTCCCATGACCAACAGAAAATACTGGAAGGGTTTGGTGGGTAGTGTCCTTTGGTTTTGGAGTTGTAGTACACCTACATCCAGAGATCACTGTGGACCCAAACAATGATGGATCTGGACCAAACTCTACACGAATAATATGCCCAAATGTGAACACTGGTGGAGTTTGGGGAAAATAGAATCTTGATATTTGGGAGTTGTAGTTGCTGGGATTTATAGTTCACCAACAATCACAGAGCATTCTGAACCCCACAATGATAGAATTGGGCCAAACCTCCCAGACGGAACCCCCATGTGGGCCACAGCAACGCGTGGCAGGGGACAGCTAGTAAAGTAAATAAAATTATATAAAACCTATGAAAACATCTATATAAATAAAAATGTAATGTTTGTTTGTGGGATTAACAGAACTCAAAAACCACTCGACAAATTGACACTAAATTTTTACACAATGCACCTAACAACCCAATGTATGTCTTTCACGCAAAAATTTTTTGATTTTGTCATTGGGGAATTGTAGTTGCTGGGATTTATAATTCACCTACAATCAAAGAGCATTCTGAACTCCACCAATGATGGAATTGAACCAAACGTGGCATACAGGACTCCCATGACCAACTGAAAACACTTGAAGGGTTTAGTCAACATTGACCTTGAGTTTGGGAGTTGTAGTTCACCTACATCCAGAGAGCACTGTGGACGCAAACAATGATGGATCTGGACCAAACTCTACACGAATACTCAATATGTTCAAATGTGAACACTGGTGAAGTTTGGGGGAAATAGAATCTTGACATTTGGGAGTTATAGTTGCTGGGATTTACAGTTCACCTACAATCACAGAGCATTCTGAACCCCACCAACAATAGAATTGGGCCAAACCTCCTACACAGAACCCCCATGTGGGTCACAGCAACGCGTGGCAGGGGATGGCTAGTAGTAATATAAAATTACAATAGGCACAATCACAATGACAGTGTGTGGGCTACATGTAATGATTAAAAGAGAGACAGATTAAAACTAATTAAAACTCAGGCGAGATAAGAGACAGATTATTTGCGGAGGAGGACTCATTATAGTGGGGGTTGTGGAATCAGATTTTCCCACAAAGGGGGGGACAGGACACACGCCAATGACAAAACGTTGAGGCTAAGCAATAGTGTGAGAATGTAAACCTATTCATCAAAAGCGCAGCGGAAAAGCCGGGTTTTAAGGTCCTTTTTAAAGGTTTCTAAGGTAGGGGCTTTCCTAATTTCTCTAGGTAGTGAGTTCCAGAATCGGGGGGGCCACAGAGGAAAAAGCTCTCTCCCTTGTACTTATTAGGTGAGCTTGTGAAATTGGCAGGGGCGAAAGAAGGGCCTCCTCAGAAGAACGGAGGGCCCGAGTTGGTTCATGGAGGGAGACATGGTCACAAAGGTAGGCGGGCCCCAAACCGTTTATGGAATGGAAAATGGTATGTTGGAGGGCAGGAAAAGAGATTTAAAGATGGGCTCAAAGCCAACTCTGGCATAGACACTGAGAACTGGGAAGCCCTGGCCCTTGAGTGCTCCAGCTGGAGGTCAGTTGTGACCAGCAGTGCTGCAGAATTTGAAGAGGCACAAATGGAGGGCGAAAGAGAGAAATGTGCCAAGAGGAAGGCGTGTCAAGCCAACCCTGACTGGGACCGCCTTCCACCTGGAAACAGATGCCCTCACTGCGGGAGACGATGCAGATCAAGAATAGGGCTCCACAGTCACCTACGGACCCACCCTGGAGGATTATCCTACTCGGACAACGAGGGATCGTCTAAGTAAGTAAGTAATGTTAAAATCCCCAGACCTGTTTTCTAGGCTGAAATAAAACTGATTCTTTCCTGCAACAAATTACACTATGTTGCTATCAGTTTTCCGGGCAGTATGGCCATGTCCCAGAAGCATTCTCTCCTGACATTTCACCCACATCTGTGGCAAGCATTAACTAGAGAAGTAAGCCATAGCAGAGCACTTGATGAACCAACCTGGGCACAAAATATTATTTGAGAACGCAGAAATGCTGGACCACTCTCACAACGACCATGTCAGACTACACAGAGAAGCCACTGAAATCCACAAGCATGTGGACAATTTCAACAGAAAGGAGGAAACTATGAAATGAATACAATCTGGCTACCAGTATTAAATTAAATTAGGACAGTAAATAAAGGGGAATACTCTGAAAACAGGAGGATTCCAGTCATGAAGCAATTAGGGTCAGCTAACACCTCCCAACAAAGGATCCCCCACAGGCAGGAATCAACCAGGCCTTGAAGCTACAAGGCTTTGCAGTGCTAATCAAGGTGGACAATTGCGAGATTCACACTTGCTCCAGCAGACGAGAAGTCACTGAAATCAACAAGCATGTGGACAATTTCAACAGAAAGGAGGAAACCATGAAAAAGAACACAATCTGGTGACCAGTATTTAAAAAAACCCTCCAAAATCACAACAGTAAACAAATCCAAACAAATTCAACATAGTTTGTGCCAAAAAAACAAAGTTTTTGTGGCCCAAACTATGTCGAATTTGTTTACAAATTCAAACTATGTTGAATTTAGGTTCTTGTGGTTTTTTTCGGGCTACAGGGCCATGTTCTAGAGGCATTCTCTCCTGACGTTTCGCCTGCATCTATGGCAAGCATCCTCAGAGGTAGTGAGGTCTGTTGGAATTATGACAATGGGTTTATATAGCTGTGGAATGGCTGGGGTGGGGCAAAGAGCTCTTCTATGCTGGAGCTAGGTGTGAATGTTTCAACTGACCACCTTCATTAGCATTTGAAGGCCTGGCTGAATTTGTTTACAAAGTTTTTGTGGCCCTAACACCTCCCAACAAAGGATTCCCACAGGCAGCAAGCAGCCAGGCTTTGAAGCTGCAAGGCCATTCAGTGCTAACCAAGCTGGCCAATTGCAACATTCACACTTTCCTCAAGCAGACAAGAGTTCTTTCTCCCACTCTGGACATCACCCCACAGATACATAAACCCCACTTGCCTAGTTTCCAACAGATCCCCCAACCTTTGAGGATGCCTGCTGTAGATGTGGGCGAAACTTCAGGAGAGAATGCTTCTGGAACATAACCTGGAAAACCCACACAAACTCAGTGATTCTGGCCATAAAAGCCTTCGACAACACATTGAATTACACAATTTTTGTTCCTAGGCGATCAATGTCATTTCCTAATTGGTTCTATCATAAAAACATGGACTTACTTCTTCGTCTTCACCTTTTGCAATGTACGACGTAAAACCACCAAATTCCGCATCCCAGTCTTGAAACAAAAGAGAAATAGGATCATTTCCAACATACTGCTCATCCCATAATTATTGTGCTAAGCAAATATATTTGCTTCTGACAGTTCACAAATTACAAATTTTGTAATTTGGGAGTTGTAGTTGCTGGGATTTATAGTTCACCTACAATCAAAGAGCCTTCTGAACACCACCAACGATGGAATTTAATCAAACTTGGCACACAGTTCTCCCATGGCCAACAGAAAATACTGGTGGGCAGTGTCCTTTGGTTTTGGAGTTGTAGTTCACCTACATCCAGAGAGCACTGTGGACTCAAACAATGATGGATCTGGACCAAACTCTACACAAATACTCAATATGTCCAAATGTGAACACTGGTAGAGTCTGGGGAAAATAGACCTTGACATTTGGGAGTTGTAATTGCTGGGATTTATGTTCACCTACAATCAAAGAGCATTCTGAACGTGACCAACAATAGAATTGGGTCAAACTTCCCACACAGAATCCCAATGACCACCAGAAAATACTGTGTTTTCTGATGGTTTTTGGCGACCCCTTTGACACGCCCTCACGACCCCCTCAGGGGTCCCGACCCCCAGGTTGAGAAACACTGCTTTAGAAGGATGGGCCAGAGGAAAAATTACAGGTGACTGCCAGGAAAAAAAAAACTTTCAAAATTATTATTTTTTTTGAATATTCAGATCATAGAATCATAGAATCAAAGAGTTGGAAGAGACCTCATGGGCCATCCAGTCCAACCCCCTGCCAAGAAGCAGGAATATTGCATTCAAATCACCCCTGACAGATGGCCATCCAGCCTCTGCTTAAATGCTTCCAAAGAAGGAGCCTCCACCACACTCCGGGGCAGAGAGTTCCACTGCTGAACGGCTCTCACAGTCAGGAAGTTCTTCCTAATGTTCAGATGGAATCTCCTCTCTTGTAGTTTGAAGCCATTGTTCCTGCGTCCTAGTCTCCAAGGAAGCAGAAAACAAGCTTGCTCCCTCCTCCCTGTGGCTTCCTCTCACATATTTACACATGGCTATCATATCTCCTCTCAGCCTTCTCTTCTTTAGGCTAAACATGCCCAGTTCCTTAAGCCGCTCCTCATAGGGCTTGTTCTCCAGACCCTTGATCATTTTAGTCGCCCTCCTCTGGACACATTCCAGCTTGTCAATATCTCTCTTGAATTGTGGTGCCCAGAATTGGACACAATATTCCAGGTGTGGTCTAACCAAAGCAGGAATAGAGCATGGGGAGCATGACTTCCCTAGATCTAGACACTATGCTCCTATTGATGCAGGCCAAAATCCCATTCTTTTTTTGCTGCCACATCACATTATTGGCTCATGTTTAACTTGTTGTCCACGAGGACTCCAAGATCTTTTTCACACGTACTGCTCTCAAGCCAGGCAGTGTCCCCCATTCTGTATCTTTGCATTTCATTTCTTAATGTATTTATTATATATATATATATATATATATAATTTTAAAAAATTATATCCTGCCCTTCTTACTCATATATACAGCAAACACTCAATGCCGGGACATTTATTTATTTGTCGTGTCAGAACAACCAGTCTAACAGAACAAAGCAAACAAACAGAAAAATACACAACTTGTGAGTTTGGTAGTTGATTAAATGTCCTTTGACCAGTAGCTGGCCACTTGGAGTGCCTCTGGTGTTGCTGCAAGAAGGTCCTCCATTGTGCATGTGGCAGGGCTCAGGTTGCATTGCAGCAGGTGGTCTGTAGTTTGCTCTTCTCCACACTCGCATGTCGTGGATTCCACTTTGTAGCCCCATTTCTGAAGGTTGGCTCTGCATCTCGTGGTGCCAGAGCGCAGTCTGTTCAATGCCTTCCAAGTCGCCCAGTCTTCTGTGTGCCCAGGAGGGAGTCTCTCATTTGGTATCAGCCATTGGTTGAGGTGCTGGGTTTGAGCCTGCCACTTTTGGACTCTCGCTTGCTGAGGTGTTCCAGCGAGTGTCTCTGTAGATCTTAGAAAACTATGTCTAGATTTAAGTCGTTGGCGTGCTGGCTGATACCCAAACAGGGATGAGCTGGAGATGTCTCTGTCTTGGTCCTTTCACTATTGGCTGCTACTTCCCGGCGGATGTCAGGTGGTGCAATACCGGCTAAGCAGTGTAATTTCTCCAGTGGTGTGGGGCGCAGACACCCCGTGATAATGCGGCATGTCTCATTAAGAGCCACATCCACTGTTTTAGTGTGGTGAGATGTGTTCCACACTGGGCATGCATACTCAGCAGAGTAGCACAGCGCAAGGGAAGATGTCTTCACTGTATCTGGTTGTGATCCCCAGGTTGTGCCAGTCAGCTTTCGTATGATATTGTTTCTGGCACTCACTTTTTGCTTGATGTTCAAGCAGTGCTTCTTGTAGGTCAGAGCACGGTCCAGAGTGACTCCCAGGTCTTTGGGTGCGCTGCAATGCTCCAGTGAGATTCCTTCCCAGGTGATCTTCAGAGCTCGGGATGCTTCTCTGTTCTTGAGATGAAAGGCACATGTCTGTGTTTTAGACGGATTAGGGATCAGCTGGTTTTCCCGGGACATGATATCATTAGATGCATACATAAACATTAAAAACATTTGTCTCAATATTAAAATATACTGGTTTAAAAACGGTCTATCAAACTGACCTTGACAGCCACAGAAGAACAGCAAATCTAGGGCGAACTCGGTTGCTTCCGTGTCGTGGGCAAGACTATAGCAGCCCTGTGTCCAGCGCCTCAGCTCTCCCGCACACAAGGGGACGCTGGAGCCTAAAGGGAGAAAAACAAGGACAGAATCTCTTTTCTTTCACATCCCACGGATAGGTCACGGAAATCCAAATTCTGTCAATGGGGACTTGCATTCAGTCCTTGCCATGAGCACTGGTTGGAAAGACTCAATCTCGGCACTGTTGCACACTTGGGTATCTAGCCAGCGCAAAGTCACAGGTCTGACGAGTGGATTGACTGAATTTGGATGATTGGTGTATAGCTAAAGACCTCTTCTGGATTGATTTTGTCATTTGGGAGTTGTAGTTGCTGGGATTTAGAGTTCACCTACAATCAAAGAGCATTCTGAATTCCACCAACGATGGAATTGGGCCAAACTTGGCACACAGATCTCCCATGACCATCAGAAAATACTGAAAGGGTATACTGAGTTTTGAGTTTTGGAGTTGTAGTTCACTTACATCCAGAAAGCACTCTGGACTCAAACAATGATGGGTCTGGGCCAAACTTGGCAAGAATATTCAATATGCCCAAATGGGAACACTAGTGGAGTTTGGAGAAAATAGACCTTGATATTTGGGAGTTGTAGTAGCTTGGAATTTATAGTTCACCTACAAACAAAGAGCATTCTGAACTCCACCAATGATGTAATTGAACCAAACTTGGCACATAGAACTCCCATGACCAACAGAAAATACTGGAAGGGTGGCAAGAATACACCAAATGTGAACACTAGTGGAGTAGTGGAGGAAATAGACCTTGATATTTGGGAGTTGTAGTAGCTTGGAATGTATAGTTCGCCTACAATCAAAGAGCATTCTGAACTCCACCAATGATGTAATTGAACCAAACTTGGCACATAGAACTCCCATGACCAATAGAAAGTACTGGAAGGGTGGCAAGAATACACCAAATGTGAACACTAGTGGAGTAGTGGAGGAAATAGACCTTGATATTTGGGAGTTGTAGTAGCTTGGAATTTATTGTTCGCCTACAATCAAAGAGCATTCTGAACTCCACCAATGATGTAATTGAACCAAACTTGGCACACAGAACTCCCATGACCAACAGAAAGTACTGGAAGGGTATACTGATGGGCATTGACCTTGGGTTTTGGAGTTGTAGTTCACCTACATCCAGAGAGCACTCTGGACTCAAACAATGATGGATCTGGGCCAAACTTGGCAACAATATTCAATATGCCCAAATGTGAACACTAGAATTTATAGTTCACCTACAATCAAAGAGCATTCTGAACTCTACCAATGATGTAATTGAACCAAACTTGGCACATAGAACTCCCATGACCAACAGAAAGTACTGGAAGGGTGGCAAGAATACACCAAATGTGAACACTAGTGGAGTAGTGGAGGAAATAGACCTTGATATTTGGGAGTTGTAGTAGCTTGGAATGTATAGTTCGCCTACAATCAAAGAGCATTCTGAACTCCACCAATGATGGAGTTGAACAAAACTTGGCACATAGAACTCCCATGACCAACAGAAAGTACTGGAAGGGTATACTGATGGGCACTGACTTTGAGTTTTGGAGTTGTAGTTCACCTACATCCAGAGAGCACTCTGGACTCAAACAATGATGGGTCTGGGCCAAACCTGGCAACAATATTCAAGATGCCCAAATGTGAACACTAGTAGAGTTTGGAGAAAATAGATCTTGATATTTGGAAGTTGTTGTTGCTGGGATTTGTAGTTCACCTACAATCAAAGAGCATTCTGAACTCTACCAATGATGTAATTGAACCAAACCTGGCACATAGAACTCCCATGGCCATCAGAAAGTACTGGAAGGGTATACTGATTGGCATTGACCTTGGGTTTTGGAGTTGTAGTTCACCTACATCCAGAGAGCACTCTGGACTCAAAAAATGATGGGTCTGGGCCAAACTTGGCAAGAATACTCAATATGCCCAAATGTGAACACTAGGGGAATTTGGAGGAAATAGACCTTGATATTTGGGAGTTGTAGTAGCTTGGAGTTGTAGTTCACCTACATCCAGAGAGCACTCTGGACTGAAACAATGATGGATCTGGGTCAAACTTGGCAAGAATACTCAATGTGCTCAAATATGAACACTAGTGGAGTTTGGAGGAAATAGACCTTGACACAAGACACCTAACAACCCAATGTATGTCCTTCTCTCAAAAAATGATTTTGTAATTTGGGAGTTGTAGTTGCTGGGATTTATATTTCACCTACAATCAAAGAGCATTCTGATATCCATCAATGATGAGTTGAATGAAATCTGACATACAGAACTCCCATGACCAACAGAAAATACTGGAAGGGTACACTGATGGGCATTGACCTTGAGTTTTGGAGTTGTAGTTCACCTACATCCAGAGAGTACTCTGGACTCAATGTTGGATTTGGACTCAGTGATGGATCTGGACTCAACACTAGTGGAGTTTGGAGGACCTTGACCTTTGGGAGTTGTAGTTGCTGGGATTTATAGTTCACCTCCAATCAAAGAGTATTGAACCCAGCCCACAATGGATCAGCACCAAACTTGGCACACTACCTACATGGCCAACATGGAACAAGGCACTGTATTGGAAAATGACTGCAGCAACTAACTCCATCTGCTTTACATACCAGTCTCTTGCCCACCATTCCCATTTTCAGGGATCTCTTTGGAGTCTTCTGTGTTGTCACTACTATCACTTTTTCCTCGACTGCACTGTCCTTCTGTGCTTTTGGAAGAGCTCCCCACTGTGGCTCTTCCTTCTTCCTCTCCTTCTGCTTCGTCTTCTGGAGCCAGGAAATGCAGCTTCAGGCCTGTGAAGTTGGAGAGGAGCAGGAACAAGGCCTCGGAGCGGAAAAGTTCCATGCCGCTTTTCAAGACGGCAGGCAGGCTCTCCTCTTCAGCTTTTGCATAATGCCTGGAAACAACAAGAACCTTTATTGATAAAAAGCGGCTGTGTTTTAAAAAAACTGTCCTTCAAAGCAAAATATTCAAATTGCATAGAAAATACATTATGTAAATAATGTATATGTTACCTATTTGTGAACATTATTTTGCTTTTGTCAAAATAGTTTTTGATTGGGATCAGGAGGTGATGCCTTGATTATATTTGCATCCTCCTATTTCTGAGGATCTCCTCTGAGGGCTGCTGGCATCCCTCTCTTGCACTATTATGCCCATCTATGCTGATGATCGTGCCATTACTGCTCAAGCAGGGAGCTTTGAGATGGTTGAACAGAAGCTCTCCGAAGCTCTAGGTGCTTTAACTGCCTATTACAGGGAAAGCCAGCTGATCCCTAATCCATCTAAAACACAGACATGTGCTTTTCATTTCAAGAACAGAGAAGCATCCCGAGCTCTGAAGATTACCTGGGAAGGAATCCCACTGGAGCATTGCAGCGCAC